TAGTACAAAACAGATCTAGGACAGTGACCGTATTTTACAGGGTATAACAGCAAAATTGTCCAAATCGTGTAATAGTAAAATTGTCCAATTGTCAGATTAAGCTCTGAACAATTGTATCTTAGAAATGATTAAAAATATCTTACTGGAATTCTCCGATATTTTATAACACTATTGGACTCTACTTTGAGCAATAAGAATGTACAATTACTCTCCAAGTTTAACAGAAGAATTTTGATGAAATCGATCATAAACGAAAATTAATTAATCATGACTAAGGATCAGATGCTCACGAAGTTTTGAAATAAAGTACACACACACACACACACACACACACACACACACACACACACACACACACACACACATATATATATATATATATATTTGTTATTCCAGGATAGTTTTTCAACTTATTCAAGGTGATACTCGCCCTCTCTAACTTTCTGACTTTCTTTCCTAGAGTAACAATGTGTCTCACAGGTTTCACATACGATTTCATTTTCAAGGGTTTTTTTTTCACTGTTCTTTGAACTGTCATAACTGAAACTCCACTCTCACGTGCCAAAGGTCATATGGGTCATGTTGGATCTTTTCTAATTGATCTCGTTAGCTCTAAACTGAAAAGAGAATCCCCTAACCTACTGTGTCCTCCTCTCTTTTGCTCCCTCTTATTCACCGTTTTCTTGATGGTTCTTGAATGGTCTTTGTAGATGGAAGCCATCCAGTGTTACAATTACTGAAGACCTAAATCAACTTTTTCCTTTCAACATTACTTAGTTAGGAAGACAATGGGTCTGTCAGAAAACAATTTTAACCTGTTCTATTTTTAGCTGAATTATTCAAAGGATTTTTCCCTGATTCTTGCGTCATATGGTGCCAAAGTGGCTAAACGTCTTTTCTGAAAACTTGGAAAAAAGAAATTCAATTAGTTTAGTGTTTTTTTTATACATATTAAACACTTTGTAGGATGGACAATTATTCCGCTACACGATTTGGACAATTTTGCTATTATACTGTTGAAGCATCTACAGTCAATGAAAACATTATGCGACAAAATATTTTGATAGGAGATATTTCAATTATTTTCTTAAAAGAAGCATTGAAATCTGTCGATGCTGCTTGATTCTGACAACAGCCAACTACGGGTTTTTAAACACTTTCCAAACATCTATACGGGAAATTTGTTATAAATTTCTATAAAAAAGTTGAGGCAATGCGGCCATTTTGGAAAAAAAGATGGAAGATAAAAGGCAAACTTCCTTTCCAATTCAAATCAATTGCTAAGACTTTTTAGTTTTGTTTGTAATGTCTGCAAAGAAAAAAAGTTTTCTTCTCTTATTGACATTTCTGTTTGTGGCCATGTTTTTCACTGTCGCAGAAAAAAAGCCAGAAGTTAAAGCATTTTCAGGTCGATGGCAATTGCTGCTGCGTGTATATCACAATAATTAACTAGCGATCGTTAGTTCCAGACCCACATAAGGTAGTCAGGTAGCTAGTAAAAATCGACCCTAGAAATGGTGACAGTATGCAGAAGTATATAAATAATTACCTTTTCTAACCACATTGGTTAGAACATTCGCTTTCCAAACATGAGAGCCGGGATCGAATCTCACCATGGCCTATTTGAAGGAGAATGTTTGATGATATCGGCCTAGGGAGAAAGTGTCAGAAAACCGTACCGTACCATGCGTTGACCAATACTTGTGAGAGAAATTGTGTAGATTCAGTTATTTGAGCCATAGATGGTTGTAATAGTACGAACTCATTGTCACCAAGGTTTTGAGCGCAACCTGGTATTCGGCAACGTGTTAAACCCACGACAATAACAATAACTCATTTCCAATAGCATTTTTCGGATACAACAATACATATATTTTCGTTGTCCTCTTATTACTGAGAGAAAAAACAAGAACAACATCTATTCCATACCTGAAGATGTCTGTAGGAACAGACGAAAGCTTGTAGTAAAATAAGAACTAATGCAACAGAAATTTATAGAAACAAGGATCTTTTCATTCATAACAGGTTCGGAGGTTTTTGTATATTATTTGAATTGTTTGTGACGATGGATTTCTCGCCAATTAAATCATTAACCTTCGTATTTGTTTTTGTATGAATAATTCATGAATTTGTAAATTGATTGCACGTTTATCGAAATATATATATATATGTATCAAGAAGAGATTTGAAAGAAAAGGTATATAAACTCGAAAATCTTTTTGTGACGCGTTTCATGCATTAGTACTTAATTGGATTGGGTTTGTTGACGTTGTTATGGTTACAAATTCGCATGAACAAGAGACGCTGGCAGTTTCATTTTTTTTTTTTTTAAGTAATTGTTTTGTAATCTAGCCAGATTCATGTATATTTTTTGCCCTCTGTTCGTCATCTTCGTTATTAAATATCCCACATTGCATTGCGGATATAGAAAATCTGCCAAGAACGATGAACGGTTATTTAATTAGAGTAGCGTTTTTATGTCAAACTTGTGGAGATATTCGTTAGGGTGAACAACCAATGCGTTTTGTGTGTGTTTGTGTGTGTTTTTAATGGATGAAACATGACACAAAAAACTTTTCTCATATATATATATATATATATATATATATATATATATATGAAGAAATATAGTTTTTAGTTGAGCTATATTTATGGGATAAAGTTCTCAGTATCAGAGATAGAGCGTATGTAAAGCCTTTTTCATGCTAGATGGAATCGTCAGGCCTGACGATTGCGTCTAGTATGAAACAGACTGTCGCCTCTGTGTGTTGACTTCAATGTCCACTTTATATATATATATATATATATATATATATATATATATATACTTTTAAAAGAAAAATCAACAGGGATCCGTTTGTAAGGTGAAAACTTTTAAAAAAGGCAAAACTTACAACAATCACAACAATATTTGCAATCTTTGCCAACAGGAAAACATTTTAAACCAGAAATCCGATGTGTTAAGTCCTAGCTTTTCTTAAGTGCATATGAGGCCGAATAAAAAAAAGGAATTTAACCCGTCCCCACTAGTACATTTACACTTGCTTTTCTTCTATTTCTTCTTCTTCTTCTTCTTCTTCTTCTTCTTCTTCTTCTTCTTCTTCACATTGTCTCCCTTTCTATTACATCCACTGTCGTGCGTTTCTTTATTTATTTTTGCAAATAATAATGTACCATTCTTTAATATTTAAAAAAAAAAAAAAAAAAAGTTAGGTGGTCATTTGATAAAAATACCCTGAGGTTACCGTAAATTTGAAACCAAGATAGCGGATTCAACTGACCTCGTGATTTAAAGATAAAAGTTCTGCATGTTATTTTTACTTTTGATTTTTCACGGGTATTGAACACTTTTTAATACTATTGTTTCCGGGTCTGACTTAACTCTGACCCATACCTTTATATATATATATATATATATATATATATATATATATATATATATATATATATATGGTTTGTTTTTCACGCTTTTGCGATCGTCAGACAAACACATCACATCACAAACTCACATCAATCTAACCAAATATATTAGCTCTATCTCTGATATTGGGCGCTTTCTAATAAGTACCGCGCATATAATGTATAAATAATTATATATATAAGTACCGCGCATATAATGTATAAATAATTATATATATATATATATATATATATATATATATATATATATACACATTTCATACATACATTCATATATATATATACAGATTTTATTTTGCCAAAAATTCGATCAAGCAGTTTGATCCAGGAAGACAAATCATCCGAGGTAAAAATTCTTCGCAGACATAAAGTTCAATACCAAAAGATTGAGTAACAATAATTAGGAGTAACTAAAATAAAATAATTTAGTTATAACTTTCAATCTGTACTACAAGTTTTTATACGTTTTGCCTACAATTCTGAGCGGATTTTACTTTGAACTCTCTGAGCTCGCACTAATATCTGCTGAAGATTTTTCTCCAGTCTCTGAAGCTAACCTTAAAAGCTATGTGTTAGTGTGTTTGATTTACTTTCTTCATATTTATTCGTCTCCTTCTAGCCCGTGGAATAAGAGACGAAGAATACGTTACATTGTTTGTCAAAAATAACAAAATTTGCCTTTAGACATATAGCCATCACCCCCCAATACACACGAGAATATCGGCATTTCTCTCTTCCTCTTCCTCTTACTCTTTATCTTTTGTAACCGTCCATTTTGAAATTCAGAGACGTAAATTCACAATCATGATTCATAACAGTGTTTGCCATTTATTATTTGCTATGATAATTTTTAAAGAAAAAAAAAGAAGCGATGTTTCAATTTAGGAATCTAAAGTAATTGTATTTTCAAGAAAAAATAATTTTGGAGATTACATTGTTCAATATCTGTGCGTCTCCATCTTATTTATTTTGTACTTCCAATATAGCCTTTTAACTTGTTCCATTTGCGCATGCGTGTGGAAGAAGGTCGTTAAATACACATGACTATCTAAGAAGAACGTCAAATGGATATATAATTTAAAAAGAATTCATAACGAATTTTAAGCATTGGTTCTTGCTACATCATTAGTTGTATTTGTCCTGAGTATACTTTCTACTAAAGAAAGAATGAAAGACCGATAGAATATCTTTACTTATACAACACATAGAAACACAGAAACATGCCACAAATCAAGGCTCAGTTCAATTTCTACTTATATCGATCAATACATCACACGAGAGTGAATATTAATATTCATATTAGACAGGAGTTGATCGATAATACTAAAATAATAGGTAGCACTAATTATAAAGAAAACAAAATACTCCATAAAAAAATCAACATTTAAGACAATATACTTTATTTCTGGGAAAGTAGTTCTAAAATGTGTTTAAAATTACAAGAAAACTGAACATCTTTGTCTTCAGACACAGTAACGTTATGTCTGCCTTGCAGAATGTTTAACACACACACACATATATATATATAAATATAAATATATATATATATATGTATACATATATATATATATATTAAATAGAATGTTTAATCTCTCTCTCTCTTTATCTATCTATCTATCCATCTATCTATCTATCTATCTATCTAGTCTTCAGCTTCTTATCTAAGTCTTCTCCTTCTTATTTATCTATCTATCTATCTATCTATCTATCTATCTATCTATCTATCTATCTAGTCTTTAGCTTCTTATCTATCTATCTATCTATCTATCTATCTATCTATCTATCTATCTATATATATATATATATATATACTGCCAAGGCAACATAA